AAAACGAGCCTCCAGTTTCCTTCCTCCACGAGGATTAATCCAGTTTGCCAACCACGAGTTCTGGATCCTGGGCAAGTCCAGATTCAGCTGGAAACAAGGTAAAGACGGAGTAATGGAGATGAGGGTCGACAGACAGAGACTGGAGTCCTTGAATTGTAAAATTAATAGCAGTAGACACTGTGAGACATGGGTGCACTGACTCCACGTTCGTCTGCAGGTGTCTGGCTGAACGACCTGGTCCAGGTGGCAGCTCATGAGATTGGCCACGCCCTGGGTCTGTGGCACTCCAGAGACCCACAGGCTCTCATGCATCCAAACGCTACCTACACTGGACAGAGGAACGTCGCTCAGGATGATGTCTGGGGCATCCAGCGTCTCTATGGTAACCTCAGTGTTCTGCTGGAATTCCTCTCATGACATGAAAAAGTTTATTTAGAGATTAATCCTAACTCTGTCTGTCTGTTAGCTCTGTCTCAGCTAAACTAAGCTAACCATGCTAACCCTGTCACACATATCTCCTCCTGTGGGGTATAAAGGAAGATCTATATCCTTTCAGTTGCATTACTGCCACCTACAGAATCTATTTTTTATTTTTTATTATATTTTATTATCATTTCTAGGAGAAGTAAACAGATAGAAGACACACTGTACGTCCTCTGCCCGATTAAAAATTAAAGATCCTTTTATAATTGTAATAAACATGAATAAATATATTAAAATAATATTGTGATATAAATGATGTGACTTTATAAATAGTGGTGCTTTGGCCCAGAGGCAATGTCTCTGTTATTGGTGTGTAACCCCAGGGTTCATCTCCTGGGCAAGTTCGAATCCCAGTTAGGGCGGTTGGTACCTTCCAGTGGACTCACCACCTGCAGGAAGGTTTGGTACGGTGCAATGTGATTTGGGTGGAGACTGCTGCCCCCGTGTCCCGGTAACGGATAAGCGGATGAAAATGGATGAATGGATGGACTTTATAGACAGAATCAGATGACGTTGTGCTTGTTCATTTTTATTCAGGTTGTCTGGATAAGAAGCGAGTGTGTGACCCCTGGGCTCGACTGGGCTTCTGCGAGCGGAGGAAGACATTCATGAAGAAGAACTGTCCTCAGCGCTGTGATCTCTGCTACGGTGAGTTTAACCTCTCACCCTCTGGTGAGTCTGACCCCCCTGCTGTTTCCTGTCTGATTTCAATCACGTCACGATGAAAACTCACCCGCCAATCTCTCATTTTTGTGGCCACAGAACCTCTGGATGAAGTGGCGACACCAACGCCACCTCCAGCTAACGTTAAAATCAAGATGGTCCCGCGAGGGAAGGTGGTAGGTTTCCGCTGTGGAACCAAAAGCCTAGGATCCATGCCCAAAGTCAGGTCAGCTGATCACAGATGAACCTTTAAGCAGGTAAACAGAGGCTGAGTCAGTAAAATCACTGCCTGTGTCCTGCAGCTGGTACAAAGACGGTGAGCAGATCCTGACCTCCATACCTGGCTACATCATCATGAAGGACCGTGACCTTCGCATCGTCGCCAATGAGTTCAACGAAGGTGTCTACACCTGTCGTATCCACCGTCGTGGAGAGATCGTGTCTGCGAACTCCTGGGCCATCAGGGTAAAACCGGAGCAGCCGTTCAACAACTGAGGACAACAGTGACGGCAACCATTACAACAGACTACATCAACAACTGTCCAGGTGGAATCAGAGCAGAGAGGTGAACTACATCGTCAGATTAAGGGATAATAGTGTACAGTTTAAGGTTCAATCCCATTCCATTGCAGCTTCTGTGACTCTGATGGTTTAGGACTGGACTGAAGGTCTGGTTTCCTACAGCACAGCTCAGAGGAAACGTAACCAGGTGGTGTAACGCTTATATGTTAAGTTGCCAAGGTAACGACAACAAAACACATTTGCAGTCAGTGGACACATGTACTGCCACAAGCTGGACATAAGTAACGAGATTTGGAGTTTTTAAAAAAAAATTTTTATACAATGATAGATGTCACATTTTGTGTCTTATAGGCATAGGAATATATATATATATATACATATATATATGTGTGTATATATATATATACATATATATACTGTATATATTCTTGTCTGTATCAGGTTTTGCTCATATTAAAGAGGATGTTACCATTGTATGTAATAACAGTTCCAACATGGAATCATTATTCTCCATAGATGGGGGGGGGGCAGTGATAGACTGGAGAAATGTCCAGGTGAAACTCCGCCCTCGCCCGATGACTGGGACAGAAGAGAAGAAAGAGAAATTAATTATTCCTAAAGCTGAATAGTTTGGGAGCTTTTGATCTAAATAAAACCGCACTTGTCGCAATGATCTAATATACCTGAACAGCACCATCGTGTGGACAAACTGAAACACATCTGGAATAGAAACGTTAACTCCAAGATCCACATTAAAGAAAAAAAAAATCGCTGATTTGACAAATTAGTTTGATTAATCTCCTCCATATATATGTATGGATCCAGCTGGTGATCTATGATAAAAGATGGATGTCAGCAAGAGGAGAGACAAGTGGTTCCTGAAATTCTATTTGAATAATGGACGAGGAGAACACTGGATTATTCTGCACTTCCCTGATCCACCAGACAAACACACACACACACAGTTCATCGTCACAATCAAAACTTTATTGCGTGAACACGATTATTCAGGTGAGGCTGCACACGGTGCAGACACACACCTGTCAGCACCTCACAACCTTCTGATTCAAAAGACCTTCATCAACTTCATCTTGTCCTCTGAGGAGGAGGACACACATGAGCTCAGGTCTGGCCTTGTCCTCCCGATCTGGTTTGTGAGGACGAGGGCTGATCTGAGCTCCGTTCAGCACCAACTCCTGTCACATAATGTTTAGTTTATTTTGGTCAGGGGACAACAGGAGCAGGTTGGACTATGACCCCACCCCTCTGTGGTACTGATAACTTGCAACGAGAGGAGGCGGGGCTTAAACACAGGTAACACAGAAAGACGTGATTATGGCTTGTTTACAGGCAGGAGAAACACTGAGAAGGTCAGCAGGTGGCATTAGCACATTAAATCAACACAGATAACAGACAGATGCTAGTTGTGAGGGGGCGGGGTTTGGTCTTTTTAACAGATGCGGGGTCGGTTCTGTGGATTTTGTATGGTCAGAGTTCAGGAATGCTTTGCTCGACCAGCTGAGGGTCAGGATCTGACGACAAGACTGTTGATGCCGGTGTTATGGCTGCTTCATCTTCAGCTGCTCACGCCAGGACTGCGCCCTCTGCTGGGGAAGTCATCTTACATGCCCATCCTGATGCTTTGGATTATTTGGAAAATAGCTGCAGGACAAAAACACAGTTGTTGCTTGGTCAGTTAGAAGTACAACAAATTGACAACTTCAGCAGTTTACTGAAGCGAACCATCTTTATCAAATTTGGTCCGAGCTGATGCAGATAAGCTAAGTTAATCTTTAAGCTCCACCCGTGAATAAACACACACACATCTAGCCAGGTTTTGCATCTGTATTAAGTTACACTGACATGAACTGACCCAGGTCAAATGAGATGTCAGGCAGATCTGATGATGATGATGATGATAATTGTAAAGAGTTTGTTACTCTGAGTTTTAACACTCATTTGGTTAGAGACAGAAGGACTCACCCGATCCACAGACGACAAAGACGAAGAGAGCCAGCAGCCAGGGACCTACGCCTTTTTCTTCACCCAGATTCCTCTGTGACACAAAGAGACACAGTAATTATTACAATCATTGAGCAGAGGTGCGTCATCACCATGAACATCATGTCTTAATTCAATTATTAAATATATTTAATGAAAATATGAAGATGGACTGGAGTATGTACAGAACTTATGTTACCAACCATAGACTTAACAACACATCTCCCTAGTATTAGCATCTTTACACTAGTCCAGTACGTTTAAACTGATCTCAGAGTAAATTTAACAACATAAAGGACTGGGTCCTGAATCTATACATGACTTGAAAACTTTACTATGCAGTTGCTCTCCGTAATCACAGAAAAAACACATTTTAACTTTTCTTGAGTGTCAGTAATGGTTAAAAAGAGACACTGTGTCATAATAATACTACTTATCAACGTATTCCCTGGGTTTTAGTGAGTTAGTAAACTGCATTTCTTTAAAAAGGGTATTATTGATAATAGTAAATCTTGAGTTTAAATCGGTAAACACTAAACGACCGTTTTTTTCCCCACACAACTGTTGATGACAAGAGAGTGTGGAGAAGTGATTACTTTAGGGGCAATCATCGCTATTCATCACTGCCACGGTGTATTGATGAGGTGTCCCTTCAGACGAGCGAACTCTCGGTTAACACGCGAAAAAAAGAGGCTTTAGCTCCTGATCCTGGGCTAATTTGTAGTTCTTACTGTTATGTTTACAAGCACCGTTTGTAGAGTTTAAAAAAAATAACTTTTTCTTTTTTTTCAACAGCGCTTTTCGCGTTATTAAACTCACCGTTGACTTGGCCACATTCCCTCGCTGAGTGATGTTCTTGCTGTGTTTCTCATTGGCCATACGGATTCTCTGCTTCGCAACCATTTTTCCTTGTTTCTTTACGATGTTGGTTCGGCTAGTTGGATTGTGAGGTACGATACCAACTCCGGTATTCGGCGTTCTCTTAGGACGCGAAGGAACTGGGAGATTGTACAACTTGTCTACGTACTCAAAAATACGAAGCCCCTCCCCGACCTTGCCCTTTCTATGACGTAGGCCACACGCTTCCGGTTATTGTATAAATATGTGATTGAACTTGTTTTTCATAATATATATATAGATATTACATACATACTAAATCAGTGAAAACTAATATATAGCTCTTTCATTAAATACACTTTTAAAATCTGTTTTAAATCTCAAATTATCATCTACTTTTTTATTTATATCGTCAGTTTTTTCAACAACATAGGTTGTTTTCACGTAACTAACGTTAAACTCTAAACTGGAGTTTAAATATGCAGTCTAAGTTGTAATGTATAGTGTGAACGTGCCAGCTGTAACGGAATAAATTTTATTTTGAAAAACTGATGTTCAACATTGAGTTGACACGGCATTTGGACGGTGCTTAAACGTTTAAACATAAACAAACTGAAACTCTTCATACAACAGAACAATGTTTGTTAAATATTTATATTTCATATTCAATGTCATCTTAACTACAGAAAATGAAGTTTTTTGGCTGACGTGTTTAAAACGATGTCGTGTATGCTGATGTGGCACTGGGAATGCCCCACCTACTTATTTTACGTATTTCCAGGTGACGCTTATTCTTCTTCCGGAACACATGTAAACATGGCGCCTCCGGTCCCGTTGTTGGCAGGTGAGTGATTTTTTTTCAGTGAACAATAAACCCTATTCCCCTTTCCATTAAAATGTTTCCCTCACACCATCACAGATTTTTTAAAAATATAATTTTAAGATATTTTGGCTTATTTGTGCAACCGGACGGTGCTACCATTGATCTAAAATGCTTTTTAATCGGACGACGCAAAAACTTGTTTAAGATGAACTCTTAAGAAGCACTTTGTTGAATGAAAAGGCTTCCTTGAAACCTCTAAATATAAACTATATGCATTTCTTACGTGCTGGATGAAGATACGAGACCTTTATTTGAGCTAAATATGTTATTGAAATCTAGTGTGCAGAAGTAATGTTTCAAAAATCTTAAAAGGAAAAGAAAGTTTAAAAATTATTATTAATGTGACTTGGCCAACAGATTAGTTGGAATATAACTACATTTCAAAGCAAATGGACATAATAAGATATCTATTTTAACTATTCCAGTCCAGCTATTTACTACTGTCTTTGAAAATTGAGTTAAATAAAAGTAACATCGCCACAATGTTCTTTTTTTTCTGTTTTCAATAAAAAACCTTTTCTGTGTGTGTGTTGTTTCAGTGCGAGGAACTCATGGTACATCTCTACTTCGTGGTCCTCCAAAGTGTGATCAGCAATCAGACATAATCAGGTAACAAATTACCGCATTAACATCAACATTAGTGTAAGAGGCACACAGCCTTACATTAACTTTCTGCATTGTATTCTTAGTGGTGGAAACAACAGGTGTTTGACCTTCAGCAGAGATGGGACACTGTTGGCCTGTTGCGACGGACACAAGTAACTATGATCATTGATTTTTGTGAGTCATATGTTTGTCAATATGAGACAAACTAAAAATGGGAGTAATAGGCTACCAGACTACAAAATAATGAGTATATTATCTTATGCGGTACTGTACCATACATACATTCTAGTCAGTGCTGCTGTCACTGAGAACAAGTTAGCTACCAATGAGGTCGCCAAAGACAGACAGACACTTTTGTGCTTATCCCTTGGAATACATGACTAATGTCTCTGGAGTCCCTCTTATGATGCATAAAATCTCTCAGTTGTCTCTGACAAAATCTGAAGCTTAGAGAATAATATTACCCATTTTTAAAAACCTGTATAAAATGTGTTTAAATCTTTGGATAAACAGTCTATTTGCATGTTTTTGCTTTCTGTCCTCTTTTTTCTTCAGAGTTTCTGTGGTAAAATGCTCAGACAGCTCCATTGTCTCAACATTTGACCTCCCAAAGACAGCTCTGCTGGAGCTTTCCCCTCTGAACAATGTCTTGGTCACTTGGCAACCGTATAGCAGTAAGACCCGTGCAAGACTGTACACTACACTTCTCAGCATCTGCTTAGAGACTTGAGATAATGTCTGTCTGCTGTTTCTTTCCGGTAGAGACTAAGGACTGTCCTCAGGGTGAAGCAAACCTCCAGATTTGGCAGCTACACAGTGGTCAGCTGATGAAAGCTCTGTATCAGAAGAAAGTTGAATCTTGGTCAGTTGATTTTTTTTCATTGCTATTTACATTTATTTAAATGTAAATTTGATAATTTCCAATTTCAATCATTTCCACATTTGATAACGTGATATTCAAGCTGTGTGTGTGTTCCTGTGTAGGTGTCCATGTTGGTCTGATGATGAAACCATCTGTGTACGAAGCGTCAACAATGAACTCCACTTCTATGAGAACAATGACTTAAGTAAAGAACCCTTACTCTCCTTTCCTTTGTGTTGACTGTGTCCACATTGCTGTTCTTGCTCAGACCTCCTTTTTTCATAACTGTAGACACCATCGCCAACAAGCTACACATGCAAAAAGTGTCAGACTTTGCATTGTCACCTGGAGCTCAGCCCTGTAAGGTGAGGACTGCAGCCGTATCCTTCTCTATCCATCTATGTTCCGCCATCCCTGCACATCTCAGTTCTGTCTTTCTCATGCAGGTAGCTGTTTATGTCCCAGGCAGTAAAGGAGCGCCTGCCTTTGTTCGTCTGTACCAGTACCCTTCACTGGGTGGAACATCAGCAGCACTAGCCAATAAAAGCTTCTTCAAAGCTGACAAAGTGTGCATGCAGTGGAACAAGAAAGGTAAGAGTCAGCATCAAGGAGCACACTGAGTGAAATAATCAGAAACCCTTTAGTTTCACTAAAGGGTTTCTGATTGTCTGACTTCCATTGCAGCCTCTGCAGTTCTGGTCACAGCAAGTACAGAAGTGGACAAGACTGGAGCTTCGTATTATGGGGAGCAGACGCTACACTACCTCGGTGCAAATGGAGAGACTGCTCTGGTCCAACTGGGTGAGTTCATTTACTGTCTGTGTCCCTGACTGTGTGATCCATTCATGTTTAATACTCAAACACTCCCTAACAGGACGTTAGCACTAAACCCACTCTCTGTTTTGGTTCTTTAACACAGCAAAGAATGGCCCGATCTATGACGTGGCGTGGAGTCCAAACTCTTCTGAGTTCTGTGTGGTTTATGGCTTCATGCCGGCCAAAGCAACTATCTTCAACCTAAAGTGTGATCCTGTGTTTGACTTTGGAACAGGACCTAGGAATGCTTCCTACTACAGGTGAGAAAATGTTCGGGTCTTCAGATGCCGGATCCCTACATGTTCAGTTCAGGTCCCTCATAAATTCTTTTAATTTTGTTTCAAGTCCACAGGGTCACATCCTGGTTCTGGCTGGATTTGGGAATCTGCGAGGTCAAATGGAAGTCTGGGATGTAAAAAAGTACAAACAAGTGAGGAATAATAGGAGCTAAAATATTGACCTTACTGTTGTTGACCTTACTCAATCTTACAACACTATCTTTGTACAGGTATCTAAACCTCAGGCTCCAGACTCCACCCACTTCTCCTGGTGTCCAGATGGCGAGCATGTTGTCACAGCAACCTGTTCTCCTAGGCTGCGAGTCAGTAATGGTTACAAAATCTGGCACTACACCGGCTCTGTGCTTCACAAGTGGGAAGTAGCGGCCAACTCTGAGCTGTGGGAGGTTCAGTGGCAGCCATTTCCTGAAGGAACCTTTCCCGAGCGACCCATTAAATATCAGGCTGCACCTAGTGACCTTGGTAGTACGCAGGCTCCGCCCACACAAGCATATCGCCCACCTGCACTGAGACATCTGCCGGCAACAGCCAGTTCCAAACTGGTGAGAAAATAACTGAAATCTTTGTGGGAAACCACTGACCACCAGCCACCAAAACATCAATAAAATGTGTCAGATTTATCTGTAGGCCTTTAAAAGATCAATGATCCAGCATCCCTGGAATATTAGGCAGTGACTAATGATGACTGAGTTGTGTGGACTAGTATTTTTGATCATATTAGTGATTCCAATCTACTCATCTCTATATTATGCCAGTGTCTGTCTTACCACTATCTGCAGTATTTGCCTCACCTGTCCCCTCTCTCTGTCAGCATGAGGAAGAGCTTCCTCAAAACATGCGTCCAGGTGTTCCAGGTGAGAAGTCTAAGTCAGCTCTGAAGAACCAGAAGAAGCGAGAGGCAAAGAAGGCAGCAAGACAGGTCAGCTGATACTCACATGCTAAAATATGACGTGTGTGTGTGTAACATGTGATTTGTTATCATTTTTTTTTCATTTTGATTCTGTAGGAAACAAGGTCAGAGCCTTCGTCTGAGCATGCTCATTCCCGTCCCCCTGCTACTGACAGCCAATCGGAGCCGAGCAGTGGTGATCCAGAGACGGACAAGAAAATAAAAAACTTAAAGAAGGTAAAAGAGAAATTGTTACCATGAAACAATTTTAAAGGTAAATGTCTTCATGACTGGTTTGAGTGTGTGTCTGTTTTTGTGTTTTAGAAAATAAAAGCCATTGAGGAGCTAAAGGAGCAGCAGGCATCGGGAAAGGTTTTGCAGAAGAACCAGGTGAGTGACATCAAAGTCTCAATGCAAAAAAAATGATCTTGTTTAAAAGCCCAGAGATATGTGATCACACAGAGTTCTGGTGGACAGAGGAGTAACCTTCCCTGAGGTTGTGTTTCTATGGGTATTTAGTAGTGATAACTTTCAGCCTGTGTTTTCTACAGCTGGACAAGATTCAGAAGGAGGAACAGCTGCTGAAGGAACTAGAAGAATTGCAAATCTAACAGTAGGGGGAACAGTAGAAGTTTCAGGCTGTATCTCCAAAAATAACATTCATCATTCTGACAGTCCTTCATCAATTAACAGGTGTTTTATGTTTTCTTTATACCTGAGGGCAGGTGGTGGTGTCCTGGTGGAGAGACCACACTGATAAAACAAGTGTGTTCATAACAACTCTGTGCTGCCTGAATTGTAGGAAATGTAATTAAAATGGAATGCATACCACATGGTTGTCACTTCAATTTCACATCACAAAGTGCCTTTTTTAAAGATTCTCACCACTCATTGCTTATCTGTTGTCATTTGCTTTATAAGCAATACTTATGTTGTTTACAGACATGATCTTATCATTTTTAAATATTTTACTCTTACTTTTGATAAACTTTATGTGCATACTAACTTGTGCATTGAATAAACATAAAAAGCTTGTTTCTATTGTAGTAATCAAACATTAGTAAAATTATTTTTGCATATATGGCTGGGATACAGAGCCTTAAGCGGCAATAACACATATAAGAAGCAATATATGTACATTGTTTTCTTTAAAAATATATAATTTTAATAGCATTTATTTTTATTAATTTTATTGTTTAACGAGTAAAAGAAGGTCCTACTGTACATTTTGTCATTGGCTAATGCAGCTGTCAATTACGTATGTCTGCGCTTCTATTGGTTCCTTCCTGAGCTCTTCACTCTGATGTAGTTTGAAACGCATGCGCATTGCATCTGTAATGATTTCTCTACCAACAGAGGTAGCTATAGAAATACCGACCGGCACGGTGATTCGATGCATATTTACCTTTGAA